CTAGGCTTATATTCAATCCATTTATATGGGTGTTCATCATGTGTATACATTTTATCTCAGCTGGTTCCCTCTGTATTCTTGATTTGTAATGCTTCTGTTCTAAAACAGCAACGTTCATATCTTCTTCAAAGTGTCCTGGCAGATTAAAACGGTTGGAGACAGGTTTCCATGTGTGGTCGTTTCTGATGTCCGATTGGTGACCATTGATTCATTTCCACAGAGACTGTCCTGTTTCTCCTCTGTAGAGTGCAGAAGGGCATTGTTGGCAAAAGATGGCACAAATCACAAGTGAAGGGGCCTTTGATATTGTGTGTAGCATTGTTAGGTCCCGTGACTGTGTTGCCAGAATAGATGTGCGGGTAGAGTTGGCCTCTGGGTCTGTGGCAGGGTTTAGTCCCCCTGTCTGTGTTGCCGTTTTGTGGCCTATTGTGTGTTAGTATTTGCCTGAGGTTGCGGGAGGGGAGGTTGTCTATAGGCAAGTACGGGTGTCCTACCAAGAGCTTTGGAGAGTGAAGTGTTCTTGTCAAGGATTAGCCGGAGATCATTTAAGATGTGTCTCAGTTATGGAATATAGGTGATAATTAGTCGAGTTGTGGCATCTGTTCTCTGTCTGCTGTAGGAATGCTTACAATAGAACCTAACATCAAACATAGACCATCAATCACTGCATATGAAATGTGACCAAATACCCAAGATTCTTAGATCCAATGAGTATTTAGTATGTTTTACTTGTGAAATTGGCATTTCATCCAGTATTTAATTTTTCCCCATATGTCTGACGAAGTGGACTTATCCATGAAAGCTCACATTAAAATATAATAGTCTTTAAGGTGCCACCTGTTTTTGTCTGTTTTGCTTTGTTTCTTTGGATTTTGCTTGATATCCTTAATAATTCCAACATGTTTTTTAAAACATCAAATGAAAAAGAAGTGAACATGACAAGAAGCCATATATCAAACTAATTTTTCAACAGTGTTTTGACAAATGGGTTGTTTTTTAAACGAAGTAATGGGTAATGGGAAAGAATTGATTTTCCAAAGTAGCTTTCCGGGTTCTATCCATGATGTCCAGTTGGTTTACCAGCTGATGCTTGTAAATAGCACTTGTAGGCACTGCAGACTTGGATTTCAGTGGTTCTAATAAATCTGGATCCAACCCACTGTTCTGGGCCCCAAATGTTATCCTGTGGAAGGCCACCACACATCTTGACAAAAGCGTCTTTCAGTGGCCTGACCGTGAATGAGGAGGACGCTCAGTCTAGCCCTACAGATCATAGTCCTATCCCCCTGTGACCAGAGTGGGAATGCCATGTTCCAAATTCTCACTTATGACACCATCATTGTTCTTGTAGCTGTGGACTTACCAGCATTGTCTCAGCAAGATCTTGAAGCCATCAGGGCAGCTGGTGGGGACAGGCAGGTGGAGGCTGTTACTGCCCACACCCCAAATTATGGCTGAGGAGTCCACGTCCTTGTATGGGATCTCTCCTGTCAGCAGCTCCCAGAGAACAACACCAAAGGACCTGTGGTGGGTAGGCGGGGGGGGGGGATGAAGGCCAATTTGCGTTGGAGATCCATGGACCAGACACACCCATCGCCCTTCCACTTCCCCTTTTTGCATTTCTTTCCAGCTCTTTCCCATCTCTTCCCCCTGTAATCTTTTTATTCCACCTTTTCCCATCACCTTCTCTAAAGATGCTGGACTTTCAACATTTGGCACTGATTGACAGGACAATAGGACTTGTCTTACACCTGTGGAAGGTGCTAGGTTGGGGAAGCCTGCTGTGTCCCCCCCAATAGTGGTCCATGTCTGCGTCATGGGAGCTGTGATTCAACATTTCAGGCTGCTCCTTTTCACAGTTGTGGTCTGTGTGTGCATGTCCCTGTGTGTGAGAGACAATTCAGCACCTGGGAGAAGGCTGATTGATTCCTTGGTGGCAGCTCTTGTGCATGTGAGCTGGGAGTTGTACTGGTCTTCAGTGTGGGAGGGATTGCCACTCTCGAATGGGCCTTCTCAGCCACACTAGACGCTGTTCCAAGACCTCCATTCAGAGCACGTTACCATAGTCTCCCAAGACTGAAGGGTACTGACACACCACATGGACAGAGTCCTGTTGGAAGAGCTGTTGTATCCCATAGTGGCTATCTCTGGGTGTATGTGCGTAGTCTAATCTAGCTGGGCATTAGCAGACTGGGGAAGGCTGTTCTGCTCCATGGTGGATGCCTCTGTGTGTATGTGTGTGTGTGTGATGAGGGATGTGTATGTGTGTGTGTGTGTGTGTGTTTGATGAGGGACGGGATATGATGGGATACATAGCCCAGGAATGCCTTAGTCCCCATATACGTGTGTTCTATCCAGCTCTAGCCCCTCCATCCACCACATGGCCTCCCCCTCCCTCCCCCTCCTCCTCACCAGATGTCAACCTTCTCCGAGACAGGCTCATTCCGAATCACTTCTGGTGCCATCCAGGCCACTGTGCCTGCAAAAGACATTTTGGTGCTCTTGTCGCTCAACTCTTTGGAGGTACCAAAGTCGGAGATCTTCACCACGTCATCGTAAGTGATCAGCATGCTAGGGAAAAGGGAGCAGGTAAAGAGGATAAGATGTAATCGCCACTGTGGGGTGTGTGTGTGTGTGTGTGTGTGTGTGTGTGTGTGTGTGTGTGTGTTTGTGTTTGTGTTTGTGTTTGTGTATATGTGTGTGTGTGCACGTGTGCACACATGTTGGGAAATTGAGGAAAGAAACAGAAACCCATGCAGTGCTTTCTGTGGACAGCAGGGGGAGCAGTGTAACAGTACAAATTTCTCTCTGATCCATTGGGGAGAGGGAAGCACAGAGGGCACTTTGGATGTATCCTGCTCTGCACCAAAGGCAGAACAACACATACCGTTGACGGACAGCAACGGGTGAGTCTTTTCTCCCCCATGGAACAAGCTAGGCTCCCTGAGAGTCCATCAGATTCCTCTGCCATGCAAGAGTGTGGGGCTGCTCTCTAAATGGGATTCAGGTTCCCCTCTGACTTGCTCTTGCATGGCTCAACTGGATTAAGGAAATGTGCTATCCAGCCATGCTGTGCCCGTTCTCAGATCTTGTAAAAGTTATCTTTTCGAGCAAAAATCCAACATGCCTCCCCCTCGTGTGCTTTGGTGCACAAAGAAAATTTGAGCTCTGACCCTGTTTCCTGAATGACTATGAAGGGGCCTAGACAGGCATTTGGCCTGTTGTTCAGTCCACTCGGGGCATGGGCTGGATTGCTCCTTTTGCGATTAGTTAGAGCAAGCCTGCTTTTCAATTCCCAGCTCATTTCAGTTTCCCAGTATAATTAGCTGCTTAAACAGACAGTCTCGCCACTTAATGATATTGGGGAATTAAAAATTTCCTTCCGTCCTTTACTCTTCCATGGAGCAAAGAGAGGAAGCAGCATTTTTATTTTTAAATCAATTAGGACAGCTCTGACGCACTGTACCTTTTTGAGAAATTGTTTTAAAAACTGAGGGCTTTTTCCTGTAAACAGAAGGAGACAGGAGAGGATTTCCCCCTCCCTTTTCTTTACAGCTCTTCTTAAAAGAGGTGGATCAACATGGCATAGGGGACCTCCATCTGATCTTAAGTGACCTTATTTAGCCTGCACCAGCCTGCTCCAAATGAGCCTTGGTGGGAACTTTTCTTTCTTTCTTTCTTTCTTTCTTTCTTTCTTTCTTTCTTTCTTTCTTTCTTTCTTTCTTTCTTTCTTTCTTTCTTTCTTTCTTTCTTTCTTTCTTTCTTTCTTTCTTT